TGGGTTCAACTCCCCCCTTGGACGCCTCTGGGACACCTCTCTGGCATCTCTTATGGCATCCACTTTGCTTAACTCCTCCGGGATACGGTGCAACAGATTCAACAAGCTCACAGGTTCATGACATCGACATCGATAGAAGAAACCAAACAAATCATGCAAGCAGCTTTGTGTTGCCTCTGGGACACCTCTTGGGCACTTCTTATGGCATCCACACTGGTTCAACTTCTCCGTGCAGGTTTTGGGATACGGTGCAACAGATTCAACAAACTCACAGGTTTGTGAACACATCGGATGCATCGAACAGTGTGGCAAAGTCCAGCCACGCTTCCTTAATTATCGGGGACTTCAATTCTAAGGTTGGCTGTGTCATTGCTGTTTGTGTGTCTTACATGTTCACAACGTTTAACCTCATGAGCATTTGCCTCACTCCGCTTGATGTCCCACCAGTCCGGATGCACCCCTGCTAGCTTTCGTCACCCACCCTCGGCCTCAAGTAGCTACAGGACGTAGTTTGCCCAAATACCCACAGACACCGGCCTCCATTGTGTCTCTCCGGTGGAGCAGTGCTGTTGAGGTGATCAATGACGGATTGCGGCAGATGCAGGACTCCGCAAACCTGGGTATCCACTTTTGGAGTGGCGGTGATTTCGTGCCTTTAGCCTTTAGTGTATTGCGCAACAGTTGGAGAAGAGGGATCAAAGCGTGTGAACGAAGCTTAAGGCCATGCTCACAGCACGTGAACCCTAGTTGCATGATTTATGCTGTTTAAGATATAGTTATACATAACACCATCCCTGTACCCTCGGAAGTCTGAGCCTGTACAAATGGCTGCTATACAGCTCCGTCTCAAGAACCGCAGGGCTCATGTCAAGCCTTGGTACATTTTCCCAATTATACAATTGGGGGTCCTGGCCTTACTACTAGTAACCAGAAGCTACTAGTAACTAGTAACGAAGGGCATCGCTACGAACGGAGCGATCGGACGCTACGAACGGAGCTCCTGGCATCACTACTAGTAACAAGAAGCGAACGACCCCGAAGTTCCTAGCACCGGACTACACAGGCTCATCGGTGCTCCCGTTGGCCGAAAGGACTTACTGCGTGAAGCGGACAGCGCAGAAGACATCTTATTGGTCGTGAAGGTGGGAATGGTCGTTGAGTGTTCGGGATGCACACCATCTACAGGACAGTTGATGAACATATTAAAACATCCAGCACCACTGTTTGTTTATGAATCCAATACTTCTGTTCTGCAGTTTGTTCTGCATTTCAGCAGTGAGATGCCTCGCTATGGCACCGTGGCATCCAGTCACGCTTCGCCCGTGAACCGTGTTTACGTGGATTTCTTCATTCCACCGGTAGCTGGAAACCAATCCTTGCGTTCGGACGTTCGAAGCCCAAGACGTTCGCTCTCGTGTTCTGTTCCTCGGGACGATCTTCGAAGTGCCTTCTGATCACCCCATGATGACGCAACCGCTACCCAGATCAAATCTCAGAAACTCTAGCACTGTAGACTCACTCACGTTCCTTTTGCCTGCCAGCGACATCAGACGGCCTTTTTTGAGTTTTCCAGGCTGGGGAAGAGCAAAAGGTGAAGCTTCAGCAGGCCTTGTCCGGAACCAAAGTCTTCGTTTCGACCAAGGCGGTGACCGTGAAACGACACTTGGCTGATGGATTTCTAGCTTGATGGACAAGATTGGAAGAAATAACATGGGCACTTGGAGGAATGTGATGGTTTGTGGGTTGAGCACTGAGCAGTGATAGCTTTGCCAGGGGCGCATGTTACAGATTTCCATGCCGTGCCAGAGCTGTTGTTGGCAGTAGTTGAAGGCTGCTGAGATCGGCCCAAGGAATGGTCACGGAAGCTGCCATTTCAGGACTTGAACGCCTCCAGGACAGGGTGCGCCAGGGAAGCTACCGCAAGAACTGCGGTTTCCCAGGATTGTTTCCGTTGATGTTTCCATTTACTAGCAGCCACATGATGTTGCCCATGCCACTTATATTCTATGTGTTTTTTTTCTCGGTGGCCAAATATGGGTGTATTCTGGACATCCTTGCAAAAGAAGAGATGTGCTAAAACCCTTTTATGCAACTGTGTTTATTATTCAAAACAAGTCTAGAAGATAAAGTAGCATTAATTCTACCATTTGTCTCTTCGCTGTGGCATAGGCTGTGGAAGAGTCCTCACGATAAAGCCGATGGAATCACTTCGGTCGCCTTTTGCTCTTCATTTCTCCCATCTTGGCTCTTACCCTGCTAAGATGACACTCCAAAATACACTGACCAAAGATTAAGGATTTTTTTGTTTATCAACGGTGATGTTCTTTTCCCTTTGAGGATTTCCTTGAGTAATAATGTTCAAAAACTTTTGCCAACAAGAAATTCATAAGCTTTCAATTCATGACGCAAGGAATATAAAATCACCAATGGAATGCACCTTAGGTAAGTTTTTCTTATTCCACTTCAAGGGTTAGATCATAAAGTAAAATCCCCACAAATAAACGACGAAGCTGTTCATTGTAAGAATATAAACATAATCTCCTCCACAAAGCCATTCTATAAAAGATGGAAATGGAGATAACAAATTTAAAATTACTGTAGCACCTCCATAAATTGTTTGTCCTAAAGGTACCACATAACCCATAAATGCTACTGCCATTAAGAACAAGTAGTAGTAATTAGTATATAATTACAGAAAACGTTTTTCGAATTTAAATATGAACCGTCAGATACAGCCCTTCCAGGAAGTAACAAGGTAAAAAAAAAAAAACAGAGACAGCTGATGAACCGTTTGAATGAAGATAACGTAAAGAGCATCCATAATATATCTCTCTAAGATACCACATTTCTTTTCATAAAATAGCAATACCATATGGCCACTCAATGTAAGAACATTGACTATAAAAATATTAACCAGTTCATATATATACATATAGACTAGATATATTCTTACATTGAGGCTTTCGAGGATATTATGGACATATCCGCATGGCATAGTCAATCGCAAGATTTCAGCTTTAGCTGGGGATGGGGCATTTTTTCGGGCAAGAAACTTGAGTTTTTGAAGGTTGTTGAAAATCGAATACAAAAAACGTTGTAAACATTTGATGAAGATTTTGGGACACGCACATGTTGAGGCATTCTTGAACAAGTTTAAAACATAGCCAGGTAGAGCCGGGATGGTGGGACACGAGTACATTGCCCTGCTGATATCACGGCAAACTAGGAAAGCAACCAACACAGCAATATAGGTGAAAGACTGTAGCTGGGTTCAGCAGATAGCCCTTCATGGATGTTGTTTCTGGTTTCCAAACCATGGGGATTCCGAGTCTCTATGACATTTCTTTCGCTACGCGGGCGGACCCAGCCGCGTAGCGGCGCGAATGTGTTGCTTTCCATTTTTAATGATATTGGTTGATAATCTTGGTCACTTCTCGTTTACAACGCTGCAAATGTGTTCTCTTAAAGTGACAAAGGTTTTTGAAAGGGGTTGTAGCTGTGGACCGATCCTTTCATCTCTGTAACTCTTAGTCCACAGTCTATAAGTGTTTGGCCGTTTGGCGTATGTTTTCTTACATGACCTTAAGAATCCTTAAGATACAAATGACCAAAGACAGTTGGTAAATGAGATGATGGCGATTTGTTCTTAGGTTTATAGGTGTAGACAGTCCATCCATAATTCCACAAAGACCCTTCCTTGTAAGAGATTGCAGACAATCGATTCAGGGGCTTGCTGTCATTCTGTGTGTTTCTTATTAACTTATAGGAATTTATTGCTAAGAACTTATTTATGTATATAGAAAAATCCTAAATACAATCAACAATAGAATCCACAGAGGCAAAAATACTAACGACATCATATTTTCCCGAATGCGTAGCAAAGGGTTCTCGTTTAACTCTGGGGTCTGGGGGTAGAGCCTTGTTCGCGATCTGTTGTTTCTACGTCCGCAACCGTCCGCAACCGTTCGCAACCGTCCGCAACCGTTCGCAACCGTCCGCAACCGTTCGCAGTAGAGCGCTAAGGCGCTGCCATTGGGGGAAGCTTTTGGAGAGGGTTTCGGATGGAGACGTGACGTGTCAGATTCGTGTGAAATAGCGAGGAATCGTGGAGGATGATTTCACTGCGCAGGCGCAGCGTTTCGTGAGATCCGCAGTTTGCTACGCAGTTCCATTGGTAGTCGTGTTTTTGGGGTGTTGGATGTGGTCGTGCCATTGGGATTTGCGTTTCAGGGTGTTGCGTCGAAGCTCTGTTTTCGTGACAAGTCTCAGCTGAAATCGCGAGCTTGGTGGATGGGAGTGTGCTCAGAACGGGCCGAAATCATTCCAAACGTGTGGTGTGGTGCAAATTTCGTTGAAGCTCGCATGAGATTATATTGTCACTTTTCGTGGCAGGCGCAGTGCTTTGTGCGGGTTTTGAGGTATGGAAGTGCGATTTTCGTGGCAGGCGCAGGGAATCGTGAGGTTGCGAGGTGTGACGGAGGTGACATTTCGTGGCAGGCGCAGTATACACTTTGCGCGCGCTAGACGTGTGGACGCGGAAGATTCGTGGCAGGCGCTGGGAATCGTGAGGTTGTGAGTTGTGGTAGAGGTGAATGTCGCTGTCACATTGGGATTGGCGTGTGAGCGGGGCGTTGTTTGGAGGGGCTGGAATCGCGAAACTGCTTGGCAGGGCTGCGTGATGTGTGTGCTCCGATGGGTGTTTCCGCTTGACTTTTGGAGGAAGTCTCGTACGAAACGCTCGTTTTGCAGACTTTGACATGTGAGTTTTTGAGGAAGTCTCGTACGAAACGCTCGTTTTGGAGACTTGACGTGTGACTTTTTGAGGACGAAACGCTCGTTTTGGAGACTTGACGCATGACTTTTGGAGGAAGTCTTAGACGAAACGCTCGTCTTTCAGCCTCGAAGCATGACTTTTGGAGGAAATCTCGAACGAAACTTCTAGTGTGTGGGCAGACCGTGTGGCGACACGACGTTCGTGATGTTGCAGTGCCATTGGGATTTGTGCAGCCTTGGTGGAAAGTGCGTTTGCGTGGCGCCGTGCCACTGGGGAGCGCGAAACAGGCTGGCGTAAACGCGTCGTGTCGCTGGTGAGCGCGATGATTTGTGGTATCATGTGATATGTTTGCTTCAAGTGTGTGGGCAGACCGTGTGGCGACACGACGTTCGTGATGTTGCAGTGCCATTGGGATTTGCGCGACCTGGGTGGGAAGTGTGTTTGCGTGGCGCCGTGCCACTGGGGAGCGCGATACAAGAGTGTCCCACAAGAGTGTCCCAAGAGTGTCCCGCAACAGTGTCCCACAAGAGTGTCTCACAAGAGTGTCCCTTAAGAGTGTCCCACAAGCGTATCCCACAAGAGTTTCCTACAAGAGTGTCCCACAAGAGTGTCCCACAAGAGTGTCACAAGAGTGTCCCGCAACAGTGTCCCACAAGAGTGTCCCACAAGAGTGTCCCTTAAGAGTGTCCTACAAGAGTATCCCACAAGAGTTTCCTACAAGAGTGTCCGACAAGAGTGTCCCATAAGAGTGACCCACAAGAGTGTCCTACAAGAGTGTCTCACAAGAGTGTCCGTTAAGAGTGTCCTACAAGAGTATCCCACAAGAGTTTCCTACAAGAGTGTCCCACAAGAGTGTCCTACAAGAGTGTCTCACAAGAGTGTCCCACAAGAGTGTCCGACAAGAGTGTCCCATAAGAGTGACCTTCAAGAGTGTCCCATAAGAGTGTCCCACAAGAGTGTCCTACAAGAGTGTCCCGTAAGAGTGTCCCACAAGAGTTTCCTGTAAGAGTGTTCCACAAGAGTTTCCTACAAGAGTGACCCGCAAGAGCTTCCTACAAGAGTGACCCACAAGAGTGTCCTACAAGAGTGTCCCACAAGAGTGTCCTACAAGAGTGTCCCACAAGAGTGTCCTGTAAGAGTGTTCCACAAGAGTGTCCTACAAGAGTGACCCACAAGAGCTTCCTACAAGAGTGACCCACAAGAGTGTCCCACAAGAGTGTCCTACAAGAGTGTCCCACAAGAGTGTCCCACAAGAGTGTCCTGTAAGAGTGTTCCACAAGAGTGTCCTACAAGAGTGACCCACAAGAGTGTCCTACAAGAGTGACCCACAAGAGTTTCCTACAAGAGTGTCCCGCAAGAGTGTCCCAGAAGAGTGTCCCACAAGAGTGTCCTACAAGAGTGTCATTTGGACATATGTAATGTAGCTTTTCGAACGTGTTTGCATTCGGGTTCGTGGGCTCCATCTTTTTGTTGGTAGTCTTGCCCCCTCGCAATCTCATCAAACTACAGTAGTATGAAACTGATGTTGGATGAGAGTGTGGGGGTTATATTGGTAGTGTATTTTTGGTGTTCGCTCACACGCATTTTAACCGCGTGGTTCAAATATGTAAAATGTGTGAAAAGACCAAACAAACCATCCCTGTCTATAAAACCAATTGCCACTTTTTTTTGGGTGTGGCTTTGAAAGGAGCCAAACTTTTGTAAAATTTTATCACATTTAAGTAAAACTCGGCATAGATTATTAACCTCATATTTTGTTTGAATAAATGGTTGCGGGGTCCCGCTATTCTGGTACATTGCCCATATGGGAGAGTGTGGCATGTGCGGATTAGAATCATGTTTTTAAGAATAACATGCCCACTACATATAGTGCACACAACAGTAAGTATTGACAAGTAAATCCGTCCATTGGT